CCTAACAAACCATACATCAATGGAAGGCTTATTTATTCAGCGTTCAGGTGATGTATAAATCTCAATTTAAAGAAAATGACCCTTAAGACTGGTTTTGTGGTCCAGGGTCATCCGGGAACTTCTCGCCTACTCTTTTACGAGTACTGATGTTTCGGACATACTAATCCTTTCACATACTGTTTTCTCCTACTATATAGTAGGAAGGTAGGCATATTCGAACGCACTATAAGTATACGCACGTTCGAATTAGTACGTCACCCAGGTAATTCTCGCCTACTCTTTTTATGGATACTATGGATTCGGACATACTTTTTCGCTTTCCAACTGTTTTTTTTCCCTACTACCGTAAAAATTCAAATAATAGCCGAGTCCCAAATAGACGCCTGTCTCTTTTAAATGCCTGGTGTGTCTACAGGTTTGTATAAAGGCCAGTCTCAAATAGTGGTCTGGTCTGTTTTTTAGTTTCGGGTTGCATTTAATCTTGTAAAACCTGTCAGATCATCTGTTTACGCCAGTTCTATGGTGCAGATTTCACACGCAAGAGAGCCCTGCGCATCTGGGCGGGAGCTGTTAACGCAAGAAAGGCAGGCAGAGTTAGCGGAGGGCCGGAGAGGGAGAAGTGGAGGAGAGCGACAAAGAGGAGGAATTCGCAATGAACTTGTAGTTGAGGATCGTGGTGATGATGATAGTGATGAATAGGGTCATTTTGTATCACATGATTACAGTTGTTTTACAGGGTAGCCTTTATTTTTTCTGGTTGATGTGTTTCGGGCAACAAGTTCATAGGCTCGATGGATATTAATGGTAACTCAGGGGCGTCGCACCCGTGGGGGATGTGGGTGTTTTAACACCCACACTTTTCCCGGTGAGAGGGTTCAACCGCCGCTCTTTTTCTGCAGTTTTTCCGCAGTTTTGCACAAACGCCTCACTACAGTCGATCCTCCGTTTCTCTGGCCGCTCTGTGTGTGCGCTCGCTGCGGCTCCTCCTCTCCCCCTCCCTCTCAAACATGACACCGGGGGCACGTTCAAGTTCAAAACGGTGCGCAACGTTTTGCTACGGTTTCCAGGTAGAACGTCATGTTTCCTGGAAACGGCGTGCACCGGTGTGCACCGGGGTTTGAGATGCGTTTTCTCTTGTTTAGTGGGTGTGTCAGAACTGCAGTCCAATCAGCAGCAACATGTATATAACGCACGCTGTATTAAAGTAAACTCGCACAGTGGGTTCAAGGAAAGTTATTTACAAATGTGTTCGATGCAGCTCGGTATATATATGCAACAACTGAGGATATTAGAAGACATGTTTGTCGTAAGTTTTATGGAAAAAAATAGGATATCAACATAATGATGTAGTTGTTTATATTTTTAGCTTCATTGCAAGTGTATGACATTTGGTATAGAAATAAACAATGGTAATTAAGTGCTTTTCCTAAAAATGAGAAAGAAAATACAGGGTATTAAAACAGTATGAACTACAAATAAAGTCAGTATGTGAGGATAAATAGATGTGTGCTTCCATTTCAGGTTCCACAAATCCCTTCACTCGACTAGGATCTCTTGTGTTCTGGGCGGCAAGTGCAGTAACTGTAACATCGGGCATATTTTGTAGTATAAACACATATTTATACCGACTTCATCAGGCTCCGAAAATTCTTCACAAAGTACACAAAGAATGGCCTTTCTCAGCTCCCATAGTTGCAACTCTTGCGTCATCAGAACAGTGCGTTCAACGCATCACCGTTTCGGTTTAAAAAACGTTGTGCAACGTTTTGTCAACGCAGCCCGTCTCTGAGTGTGACCGGCTGATGATTGGCTGTTCTGCCTTAAGTCACGCCTCTCTTGGTGTGATTTTTCAGTCACTCGTGCTGAGGAGGCGGGAACTTATGGTTATGGTTATTTACATCTCCCTTTTCCAGGTACTTTGAATGAGTGTTTATGCTTGCGAGGTTTTTAAATAAGCTTGATATGTGTTTGGGATTGGGAAGATGTTATGTTTATGTTTTGTTGACATGTCGAGTGTTTTCGGTATTATATTTCGTTTTTTAGACTAAACAGCACAATACTTTATTTAAGTAGGCATTCTGTTTGTGCTGCGTGATTTAAAGAAAAGTGCGCACTTTGCTCACGCAATCATTCAGCATGGTGATCATCTGGTGTTTTCTCCAAAATAAAACTCAAGGGTTTATTTCTTGCAAGTGAAGAAATTAGGACAAAAGTATTGTAATTTTCCTATTCTATAGCGTAATATAAAATTTACTTTGAAATTTTCATTTCTACAGTAGGCTAGCATACATTTAGGCTATATGGATTTTCCATCATAGGAATAATTATATAAATCATTATTATATTATTATAATAAATGTTTGGCATTCTAAAACACCAGTGATAATGTAATGTAGACTGAGACTCTATATCATAACTAAAAATAAGTTTGAACCCTCTTTAGGTACAAGTCAATGCTTTTTCTTTGTTCAATGTGCACAGTTCATGGGTCGAAGCCAGTTGAAACTCTTAATTTTGAGCTCTCAGAGTGCACCAGATTGATGCATTTAACCTTAAAATGTACAAAATTTTCTTTCGGGGGAGCATGCCCCCGAACCCCCTAGAGCAGAGGTCTCAAACTCGCGGCCCGCGGGCCATTTGCGGCCCACGGGGTGATATTTTGTGGCCCCCTACTTGACATTAAAGTTTAATGTTAGTGCGGCCCGTCGTTGCGTGTGCCGCGTTTAAAAAATAAAATAAAATTATCCCTTATGGGCTACCATAGATAGTCTCGTGACAGCTTACGGTGGGTTTGTTGTCAATAGTTGTCATAGACAACCGCGAAGTACAAACATACTGCGCCTGGAAAAAATGAGCGCGTCGCTTCAATTATGAGCGCGCTTGCCGCGCGCCTACATTTGAAATAACGAACTTGAGCGCGCAAAATATGTGAGCGCGATATGTGAACGCCCCCTTGGCGAGCTACCACCAATCAGGCCACGAGCTACTGGTAGCTCGCGAGCGACGTGTTGGAGACCCCTGCTCTAAAACAATGTGAGAATAATCATTTTGAGCTTGTAATATGTGTCCAACAGGTTGATAAGAAGGTTTGCTTTGATTTGTGCAGTCAGTAATTTGAGACACTATACATGTGTAGAAGAAATTTAATAAGACGGGCAGACATGACTGCAAATATTTGTATTTCAAAAGCAATAATTGTTTTTCTAAGTATAATAAAAGGAAATGTGCCTTCCAAAAAAAACATTCAATATCATTAATGTGTTGTATAAAGAAAATAAAAAGGACATAAGCAAATATAAATATCACAAATATGTGTTATCGACGATAGGAAGTTTGTAAAATGAACTTCAACTGTCAGAAGGACAGCTCATGAAGAACCAATCATGTACAGAAAGGAATGTTCAAATTCAGAGGAACAGTTCAGAAGAAACGTTAATAATAAATATTGAGAAGATTGGATCAGTTGTGCTCCTTTTTTGGAATACTTGAATACTATTTTTTGTGGAATACTTGATGCGGCCCCGCCTGACCCCGACTCTACCTCCAGCGGCCCCCAGTTAAGTTGAGTTTGAGACCCCTGCCCTAGAGGGACCGAGGTCCACACAACATAGTTATACAAAATCCAATGGGAAAGAACGATAATTTATGAACTTTACCCCAGCATAATGTTAATGCCAAATTTAAATGTCCTTGGACAAACTACATTTGTCCTGCCTAAGGAGGGGCCAACAAGACATTGTGCCCTCGGAATTCTTAATCAGGGCCCTGATCACATCCATCCCCCGCACTTTTAAAAAGCTTGCTACGCCCCTGTGGTAACTTGTATTGTTCAGCCCATGAAAGTGAGTTTCGTTTTTTTTTTATGCTGGCAAATATCTAAAGGGGGTTGCACACCGGACGAGAAGCGCAGCGGTGTCTATGACAACTCAAGGTATCGCACACCTTGTCAGTTTATGGCCAGCAATATTGTTATGTTTAAGGATATTATGGAATTAAGATCATGTCTGTACTATGTTTTAATTGTACTGTACAATTAATTACAATCGTTGCTTAGTCTGCAGTCTGAACACACTTTACCTCAGAGCATCCGTTAACTGAATGATAAAATCCGATAACATCAGCAATTTTCATTCAACCAGCTTATTTTTAAATTTAATATAAAACTATGTAAATGGCGCTCTGTGGCGCGACAGGATTTTGAACAAGGTCCTGAGCCGTTGCCGTCGCTGCGCTTCTCGTCTGGTGTGCGACCCCCTTTAGACATACGGTAATATAGTAGGCTAATTCTTACATTAACTGATTTGTTAAACAATTCGAATTATAAATAAAACATAATATAATGTGGTAACCTCTGACTGTCATGCTTTCCGTCTATCAGTCTATGCTATTTGGATCGTTATCTCTAGGCCTACACTCAATGAACAACATCTCAACACTAAATTAAAGGCCTGTCTCATATAGACGCCCTTCTCAAATACAAGCCGGTGCAGTTCGGCGATTTGGGAAAATAAAAGCCCGGGCTATTATATGAAGTTTTACGGTATATAGAAGGGAAGTATTACACAACCCGTAGCTTCCAAATGTTACAGATGAGCCATAAAAGTAGCCAATGGAAATCCAGACTGACAACATATGCTTACTTGTGCATTCTCTCACTAAAGATAAATCAAACAATGCAGTGCAATGTTCATTATTTTATTCAGTTTATGTCCTTTTATTTACATTCTTTCATTACCATTGTGGCATTTCACAGCAAGACACTCTAACATTTTAATTCTGAGGTATCAATAAGTAGAATGAAGCATTGCCGCTATACAAACGAAATATAGCCTACATTTTACAGTTACATACTTTCTAATGTCTTTTTTAAATCGCTGAGCCATTTAAAACCCTTTCCACTCTAAGAACACAAATAGGGTCTCACATCTGCATGACTTTTCAGGTGTTTCTGTAAGTGTGATGACAAAATAAAATGTATTGCTCCCACAATTAAATTTTCTTTATTCCAGAGTACAGGTGATATTTGAAATAGGTTTTTTCTAAACACCTTGTCACACTCGGAACTTTGCCATTTCTTTTTCAGAATGAGTTCGCAAATGACGTTTCAGGTCTTTTAGATGGCTGAAACAGTCTTCACACCGAAGACACATGAAAGGCTTCTCTCCAGTGTGAACTCTTATGTGAGTTTTAAGGTTTCCTTTAAGTGTGAAACTCTTCCCACACTGAGGGCAGATGAAAGGCTTCTCTCCAGTGTGAACTCTTACGTGAACCTCAAGATTTGTTTTGTTTGTGCAACTCTTTCCACAGTGATGACACATAAAAGGCCTTTCTCCTGTGTGAATTATTACATGATTCTTAAGGTGATTCCTATCTGTAAAACTCATTCCACACTGCTGACACATTAAACAGTTTTCTCTTGAGTGAATCCTCACATGGCGAATAAGGTTTTCTTTACATCTGAAACATTTTCCACACTGACCACATGTGAACGGCTTCTCTCCAGTGTGAATTCTCATGTGACCCTTAAGACTCTCTTTTTGTGTGAAGCTTTTCCCACACAGTTTGCATGTGTAAGGACTCTCTCCGGCGTGACTTCTCATGTGGGAATCAAGGGTTGCTTTACGCGTAAAACTCTTTCCACACTGAACACATATGAACGGCTTCTCTCCGGTGTGAATTCTCATGTGAGTCTTAATATTTGCTTTTTGTGAGAAGCTCTTCCCACACAGTTTACATGTGTGAGGGCTCTCTCCAGTGTGATTCCTCATGTGGGAATTAAGGCCTTTTTTCTGTGAAAAACACTTTCCACACTGAGGGCAGGTGTAAGGCTTCTCTCCAGAGTGAACTCTCATGTGAGTCTTTAGATTTCCCTTTCGACTGAAACTCTTTCCACACTGTTGGCAGGTGTAAGGCTTCTCTCCAGTGTGAATTCTCATGTGGACATTAAGGCTTCCTTTTTCATTAAAACTTTTTCCACATTGTAGGCAGGTAAAGGGGCTCTCTCCGGTGTGAATTCTGATGTGGACTTGAAGGTTTCCAATTCGATTAAAACTTTTTCCACATTTTTGGCAGGTGAAATAACTTCTAGTTGTTGTCCTTTTAGCTTTTTTTTGTGAGGATGTCTTTTCTGTCGTTGAGCATTTAAAATACTTTTTTCCAGTTATTAAAGCATGACGTTTCTTGTTCAAATGTTTCTTTTCCATTTCATTCGGTTCTTGACTCTCCCCTTTCAGCAACAAGTCTAAGGCAAAAAAGACAAATACAAGTTAACCACAGTTTAATAGCATACAAACCAACAGACCAAATCATTTAGACATTTAAAGCATCAAAACTAACAACATATATTATATATCCTACTCCCACTAAGCTAATGAAAGAGGTGTTACCTGTAATTTCAGAACATGTCCCAATAAAATTACAATAATGCAGCACAAAAAAAAAACTTCACCCAGAAGTACTGGTTACTTGTACAGGGTTGGGAGGCAAACTTTTATAAATGTATTCCATTACAGATTACAGAATATATGCTGTAAAATGTAAATCTGTAACATATTTCATTAGATTATTCAAGGCGAATAAGAATCTAAATACTTTGAAATACTTCTCCAAAATGGGTAGATTATTTTTTTGACAAATGTCTTGCAATTAAGGGTGCTCCGATAAGGATTTTTGAAGCCGATCACTGATCGTCGAACACAGGAAGCGGGTGGGGTAGCATTTTTTTTTTTTTTTAAATATGTAATTTTCACCTAAATATTTGATCTGATTATGTAGTGTATTTTTGTTTTTACAAAGGGGCAATTGTTGCACAATAGCTGTCACACAGCACAAGCCTGATTTCAAACTGAATTTAATTCATAAAAAAGACAGTCAGTAATAGTCAGTAATAGAATAGGAACTAAAACAATTTACAAGCAGTAGCATAAATAAAATGGAAAAAAGATACAAATAAAATAAACAGTACTTTTAAGTTTGTTTGTTTTTCAGGTAGGTCTAACAGCAGTATTTAGGTAAGAATACTAAAGAAATTCTAAAGAGAGTCTTCCCTGAATTAATTAAATACAGATTAATCCTTACAATTAAGGCTACAAATGTTAGTCATTCAAGAGCAGTGAGTGTCATTAATGTTAATCAAACAACAAAAGACAAAGAAAAAAATCAGTTAGCAGCAGGATTATTAGGCTGCTGTCACTTTAAGAGCTGCACGGATTCAATACACTGTGTGCAGAATTATTAGGCAAGTGAGTATTTTGACCATATCATCATTTTTATGCATTTTTTCCAACTCCAAGCTGTATAAACTTGAATGCTTATTGGATTTAAGCATTTCAGGTGATATGTACTTGTGTAATGAGGGAGGGTGTGGCCTAAGGAGATCAACACCCTATATCAAGGTGTGCATAATTATTAGGCAGCTTCTTTTCCTCAAGCAAAATGGGCCAAAAAAGAGATTTAACTGACTCAGAAAAGTCAAAAATTGTAAAAAGTCTTTCAGGGGGATGCAGCAATCTTGAAATTGCTAAGATATTGGGGCGTGATCACAGAACCATCAAACGTTTTGTAGCAAATACTGAGTCGCAAGAAACGTGTTGAGAAAAAAAGCAAATTTACTGCCAAAGATTTGAGAAGAATCAAACGTGAAGCTACCAGGAACCCATTATCCTCCAGTCCTGTCATATTCCAGAACTGCAACCTACCTGGAGTGCCCAGAAGTACAAAGTGTTCAGTGCTCAGAGACATGGCCAAGGTAAGGAAGGCTGAAATCCGACCACCACCGAACAAGAAACATAAGTTGAAACGTCAAGACTGGGCCAGGAAATATCTGAAGACAGATTTTTCAAAGGTTTTATGGACTGATGAGATGAGAGTGACTCTTGACGGACCAGATGGATGGGCCCGTGGCTGGATCAGTAATGGGCACAGAGCTCCACTTCGACTCAGACAGCAGCAAAGAGGAGGTGGGGTAATGGTCTGGGCTGGTATTATTAAAGATGAGCTAGTTGGACCTTTTCGGGTTGAAGATGGACTCAAAATGAACTCCCAAACTACTGCCAGTTTTTAGAAGATACTTTCTTCAAGCAGTGGTTGCGAAAAAGTCTGCATCTTTCAAGAAGTCCATGATTTTTATGCAGGACAATGCTCCATCACATACATCGAAGTACTCCACTGCGTGGCTAGCCAGTAAAGGCCTTAAAGATGAAAGAATTATGACATGGCCCTTCGTCACCTGATTTAAACCCTATTGAGAAGTTGTGGGCCCTTCTTAAACGGGAGATTTACGGTGAAGGAAAACAGTACACCTCTCTGAACAGTGTATGGGAGGCTGTGGTGGCTGCTGCACAAAAAGTTGATCATCAACAGATCAAGAAACTGACAGACTCCATGAATGGAAGGCTTATAACTGTTATTGAAAAGAAGGGTGGCTATATTGGTCACTGATTTTTTTTTTTTAAATGTCAGAAATGTTTATTTGTAAACTGAGTTGTTTGTTTATCATTCTCACTTTAACAGATTAAAATAAACAAGTGAGATGGGAAAATTTTCATTTTGCTGCATAATAATTCTGCACACTAAGAGTTGCCAAATAATTGTGCACACATAGATATTCTCCTAAGAAAGCCAAAACCTCACTTTTGCTTCCTTAAATATTCAGGATTGAGGTTTATTAACATTTTGGATTGACTGAGAGCACTGTAGTTGTTCAATAATAAAATGAATCCTCAAAAATACAACTTGCCTAATAATTTTGCACACAGTGTATATACTGTTACACAACTTTCTCAACTGTTAACTTTTCGTCAAGGCGGTAATTTTGTACATACATTTGTGTGTATTTGACCATTTAAGTGCAATTTGGTACTCGCGAGCTGTTTTTGAGGCAGCCTTATGTGTGTGCGCTTTGAGTGCGTCAGCATGAGACCAGTTTATGAGATCGGCCTTTATAGAGACCGCCGATCAAACTTCCCAAAGTGATTATCGGGCCGATAGCGATCGGTAGCCAATCAATCTGTGCACCCCTACTTGCTATTATGGTACTATTAGGACAAATTATCATAATCAACTAGTCAGTGTTAAGGGAGCCCTGTATAATTAATTAGACTGCTTCAGGTCCGCCAAACCCCGTTCCATTTCTCAGGGATATATGTGCAGCCCACCAATAGTGTAATTCAACAAATAAGCAGGCAAAATAGCTATAACCAATAACCGTTTATTATACAAATGTCCAAAGTCCTCTCAACAGCTTGGTACAAAACTGCTTATGGCCATCACAGACGAAGAACCATGCACTTCAATGAATGAGAGTTAAGACTCACAGGGTGCAGTATAAATAGGCTACAGTCAAGATAAACCACCAAGTGTTTATTTAATTGTATTTAAAAAATGAGATAAATTAAGGAAAGTATCAGTCTTTGTATCTGAAATAGATGTAAAAATGAAAAACTATGGCCACACACCATTTGTGTCAGGTTACATAGTCTAAAAAAAAAAGTATTTCCAACTATGACCAAAAATATAAAATATTTTAGATTACTATAAGCCGTCCTTCAAATAAGGCATAAGAAAAGCATAATGACCTATTTAAAACAAAGAGGTAGTTGGCCTAAGACTGAAAGACAAGGGAAGACTAATGATAAGTGATAGCATAGGTGTAATTTGCGGGTGGGACGGGTGGGACATGTCCCCACCACTTTTTGCTATGGTCGATATTGTCCCCACCACTTTTGAAACATTCTCGCGGCACGAATGTACCAATACAAATAAATAAATCATCTCCAGCTAACTAGCAGAGCATTCATTCTGTTTATTTGTTAAATAAGAGGCGATCTAGCGCTGAAATGTGTTTTTTTTTTAATCAAGTGATCAAAGTGCTCGTTGCCGCTGTGATCAGTGGATACTGTGTTCTCTTGTGGCTCGCACACAGTCTTCACTCGGAGGCGCGCTTCAATCCGTTGTGGAGACTCTCTATTCGTTCCAGTGAAATTACAAAAAATATACACAAACGTGTCCCTGCCTGATATACAACCACTGATAAACATAATCGGTTTTGATTAGAAAAAAACACCCAATACGAGTGCGGATTAGAACCCAGGACCTCTGCCACTAGACCATTAGAATAAACTCATGTTGCCCCTGGAAAGCTCCGCTCTGCTGTTGTGTGCCCGTGTGCCGCGCATGCAGGTGGAAAAAAGTCGCGCGAGTAATTTACGTCACGTGATCGGCGGCAATCGGAGCATCACTAATAAAAAGAGATGATTTGAGGTCTGACATTAAGGGCCAGATTTACTAAACAGGGCAAATTAGCGTGAGAGCGCAATTCCAAAAAAGCGCAGGTGGGAGTATAAAGTTCTGCGCGTGATCTACTGACGACGCACAAATGAAAGAACACGGATCATTTCCATAATGACCAACGCAATCTACCAGGTAGCGTCTGGTTTGAGAGAGATGTTTTTTTAAACATTCAAGCACGGAAAGACAAAAGAGAAAGCAGTGCTGTACTGGCGTGCGTCTTTAAATCTCATGTCTGTGTGACACATACGACTTGTGTGCACAGAAAGCCGCTTCAGACTGTGTTTGAATGGACGAAAACACAAAATTATGCCAAAATGAAAAGTTTTGTCGAATATCCTCACAAGCACTCAAGTCTTAAATGTCATAAAGTGTTCGAGAAAATGGTGTGCGTCAGATCCGTGTCATGTGCGGCAGGTCTTAAAGTGACAGCAGCCTAATAAACCGGAAGTCATTAACAATAATCGGAAAAAAAAAGAAAAAGAGAAAATCAGTCACAGCTCTTGACTGAATAACTTTTGTAACTTAATTAAGCATTTATCTATTGTTACATACCGCCTGTGCCGGCCCATGTAACAGAGAGGGGAGACCACACGGATTAGTTGATTTCAAATAATAAGTATTTATTAAAGACAAGAAAAGAGCAACCTAAAATAATTAAAGTCAGTATAAATGTATAACTCGAAACAAGAACAAATGCAATCAGGGTATGTGAAGTGACATGCAAAAAGAAACAAAATCAGCAAAACGGTGCGGGAGAGAAGGAGAAGCGGCGGCCTCCTTCAACCAATGCCCCGTTTACACGATGGGAAAACGCAGATATTTCTCTGCGTTTTGCCCTCTCATTTACACGAAAACGCCGTTTTTATCACAGAAAACGATTATTTCTAAAAACTCCGGGCAAAGTGGAGATTTCTGAAAACGCCGGTTATGTGTTGCCGTGTAAACTGGGAG